AAAATCTACTTATGTATATTTTTCATTAGGTAAAATTGCATTAAAATGTACCACCTTCTAACTTTTTGCAATTTAATCACCACATTTCAAAGTTTGCAACTAAGTACACCAACTTTAGACATTTGGCAAATCGAAGCATGTCAAACAGAAACCGACACCTGCTTTCTTACGTGGTATCGTCGGAAAATTACGTGGAAATCCAAAACACACGTGGAAGTCCAAAAATAACAAACAAAAAATTAAAATGCCACAAAATCAGTCTACCTGGCAGATTTGCTAAAATAAAATCAAAATTAAGTAGCTCCTCAGCCCTAAATTCAAAATCAGTCGAACAACGTAGAACCCTAAATTGCAAAAGTGTCGAACAATTTGAACCATGGGGGGAGATTTATCAATCTTGATGGTTCTGTAGATTATTTTGGAGGTGAGTTATTTTGGCCACAAGAGAACATTTTGAATTGATCGACATTTTTTCAATTTAGGGTTCATAGTTGTTCGACTGATTTTGAATTTAGGGCTGAGGAACTACTTAATTTTGATTTTATTTTAGCAAATCTGCCAAGTATACTGTTTTTGTGGCATTTTAATTTTTTGTTTGGTATTTTTGGACTTCCACGTGTGTTTTCGATTTCCACGTGAATTTCCAACATTGCCACGAAAGAAAGCCGGTGCCGATTTCTGTTTAGCATGCTTCGATTTGTCAAATGTCTAAAGCTGGTGTACTTAGTTGCAAACTTTGTAATGTGGTGATTAAATTGCAAAAAGTTAAAAGATGGTGCATTTTTTGCCTTTTCATTAAAATAAGTATAAAAAAATTTAACCTCATAACAAGATTTCAACTGGCCCCACAAAATACACAGACTGCAATCAAGATTGAATTTATGATAGGTATACATATATATATATATATATATATGGATAATAGTGTATAGAAAATGAATCATAGTTCCAATACCATGGGCCATGATTGATTTAAAAGAGCTCCAATACAATGGGCACAAGTGCCATATCTTTTTGTCCCAATAATCAATAAATGGAATATGTAGCTCAATCAATAGAATCACATGTTAAAGACTGATAAATAGACAAATATTTGCTGTTATATATATTATCCACACAAGTGTGCATTTTGCTGCCACTGCTTTGTTCAAGCAATGTCCTCTATGTTATGGTTCTGCACCAAAATATCTAGCTTAAATATTATGGTTGTAACCTTTATGGGTAATTATTGTTGGTATTGTGTTTCATAAAATTATTCACTTTCACGCTCAATTATCATATTTTAAAATATAATATAAACAAAAGTATGATATTTCATATATAATACAAGTGAATATATAGTGTAACAAAAGTATTTGTGGGATAATTTTTATCCTTATATTTTCAGCTTTGTCACCCAGCCATAGTCATGTGACATGTGTGTATCCACCTCATATATAATTTCATAATGTGTTGAGTCTAAGTGGCAGGTTCGCATGCTTCGTAATCCTATTTTGCACAATTATATGCTTTGAATTCATAATTAGGCTTGGTTGCCAACTAAACATTGTAATTATCATAATAGGTATTGTTATTATCTCTTTTTTGTCAACCAATATTCTTATACTAATATCTTTCCTTTTATTTCTTCCTAATTTATGACCCTTTTTTTTTTTCCTAATCTCTATCATTAAATTGCAAGATGTATTTCCATTCAAGTCCAATTTCTCTCATTTACAATATTTTGAAACAAAATATTTGAAGAAAAATAACTTTGCCTGTGAAAATATGAGTATTGTTATAAAAACGGGAAAGATAAAGAACACAAAATAGAAACCGAATATAAATTATACTGAATATTTCTCTTCTTCTACAATGAGCAATTTTTCACTTCATTTGCAATGACTTTTATAGGCAAATTCTACCGACAATCCTACACAAATTATTCATCCCCCCATACCTCATTTAATATGCCCATTTCTCCAAATAGTGAATGTCATTATTTTGCATAGTGGTTCATTCCACACATTTCTAACACTCCCCCTTTGAATAACCAATAACCAATATGCAATGTGCGTTTATGCTGCCTCATTAAAAACTTTATCCGGAAAAACCCTGTGGGAAAAAAACCGAGATAAGAAAAAAAGAGTACATCCGCACATGCTCCCCCTCGAGTTATCATCCGCGTAAATCTCGGAGATGTCTCATTCCAATGTTACGGACATGTTTTCGGAACGTTGTAGTTGGGAGCGCCTTTGTAAACAAATCTGTTGCGTTATCACTTGATCGGATGTATTGAGCCTTGATTTGTTTATTCCTTTCAAGCTCTTGAGTGTATGAGAAGAACTTTGGTGGGATATGTTTAGTTCTGTCACTCTTGATGTATCCTTCTTTGGTCTGAGTGACACATGTTTCATTGTCTTCGAATATCACCGTCGGGTCTTTATTATTCGAGAATCCACTAGCTTGTTGAATGCGTTGAGTCATGTTTCTGAGCCAGATGCTTTCTTTAGTTGCTTCATGCAGTGCAATGATTTCAACATGGTTTGAAGATGTAGCAACTAGTGTTTGTTTCTGAGAGCGCAAAGAAAATGCAGTTCCACCAATCGTGAAAACGTACCCAGTCTGAGATATCGCCTTATGTGGGTCTGATAAATATCATGCATCTGCAAAACCGATCATTTCATGTTTTTTATCATTTGAGTATAATAATCCCAGATCGATTGTTCCTTAGAGATAACGGAATATATGTTTGATTCCATTCTAGTGTCTCCTCGTAGGTGACGAGTTATATCTTGCTAATAAGTTGGTAGCAAAAGATATATCTGGTCTGGTGCAATTAGCAAGATACATAAGAGCTCCTATTGCACTCATATATGGTACCTCAGAACCAAGTACTTCTTCATTTTCTTCACATGGTCGAAATGGATCTTTTTCAACGTCCAATGTTCGGTTAACCATCGGAGTACTAAGGGGATTAACTTTGTCCATATTAAATCGTTTCAATACTCTTTTAGTATAGTTAGACTGATGGATAAATATCCCATTTTGTACTCTCTCTATCTGTAAACCGAGACAATATTTGGTTTTTCCGAGATCTTTCATTTCAAATTCGCCTTTCAAAAAGGTAACTGCTTCTTGTATTTCATTTGTTGTCCCAATAATATTAAGGTCATCAACATAGACAACTATTATCACAACTCCATTATGTGATTTCTTTATAAAGACACACGGATATATTTGATCATTCAAGTATCCCCTTTTTAATAATTGTTCACTCAAACAATTATACCACATACGCCCGGATTGTTTCAAGCCATATAATGGTCTTTGCAATTTTAACACACATAACTCTCTAGGTTTAGAGATTAGTGCTTCGGGCATTCTGATTTCTTCTAGGATTTTCATACATATGTCGGTGTCTAGTGATCCATACAAATAAGCAGTTACAACATCCATGAGACGCATCTCAAGATTTTCATGGATAGCTAAAATCATCAAGTATCTGAAAGTAATTGCATCCATGACAGGGGAATATGTCTCATCATAACCGATTCCAGGCCTTTGGAAAAATCCCTGTGCAACAAGGCGAGCTTTATATCTCGTGATCTCATTTTTCTCATTTCTCTTTCTGGTGAAAACCCATTTGTATCCAATAGGTTTTATCCAATAGGTGCATTCACAGCTACCACATGTGATTTGGTCACCCTTTTTAAATCAGTAAATGCATCTGGCAATTGATTTGCAATATTCTGCAGATTTATGATCTTTTGAACTTCTTGCTCTCTTTGTTTGGTGGGAGGATCAAGA